ATAGGTAGTAGTGTGGTTCCATTGCTTTGAGTTAGTATGAAATTATATACCTTCCAGTTTTTTACCCAACATCAGAGGTCACCCTTACAGTTCAGCAGCCAAAAGGCTAAGAATTATGCTGCTGATAGACTCCTGCTATTTGACTTGCAGCACACAGGCCTTGCTGAACAGCATGGAAGTGCAGATTTCCCCTCATCTACACAGCAAAAGAAGAGAGCAGTTCTTTAAATTTTAAAGCTTTTGCACACTGTTACCCGCAGTTACATAGTAACTAGGCAGTTTCAAAATGACATTCTCTTTTTAACTGAAAATGCTTGCATTTGGCTACTGAAGATATTTACACTGGAAGATTAGATTTTCTGCCATGATTTGGATGTGTAGGAATGAAATATGTCATAAAAAGCAAATGCGCTATATGTTTCTCCTGCACACACAATATTAAGAGCTTGAGAAACGATAAAAAAGACATAACCTTCAAACCAACTATTTAATATCTGAAGAAGTTCAGCCATGGGCTTTACGTGACTTTCTCAAAGCTGGAATACTGGCAAGTTTGCCTTCAATGAAAATATGTAATACATCAGGTTGTTTTCCCAGCTGTGCTTATTAACAGCCAAGCTCAAGAGAGCATCCATCCAGGACATTTCATTTCAGACTTAGCTCAAGAATCTAGAAAACAAGTAAAATATACACATATATATACCTGTAGTATGTACTGAAATGTAAAAAAACAGTAAGTTATCTTAACAGCTGACTTTTCAGTATCCTTTGGAAAACTATCCTTGTTTACATGTAATCTAGAAGCTTCTTTCCTGCTATTCCATACATACTCCCTTTTCTTAATTCCATCGATAAACTTCTACTTATGTAGTATCACTTCTTCCACCCAGAAAAACTCTTCCATCTGCAGTTATACTTCATCTTAAAGCCATAAACAAGAGCACTGATATGACATATACGTTGCCTGCCTTTTAAAGGTGTTGGTAAAAATAAAAGATTCTTCTAACCAAGGTATAAACATCTGAGTCTCAACTTATTAGACAAAGCACATTCATAAGTCTTATTAAGAGAAAATCCCAGAAATAAGCATCAGACGGCCATAAAAAGATAAGCTGCTAAATTGTGCCTCTCCCAGTCTAGGGCTTACTATGTACTTACTGTTGCTCTTGTTTTATAACTGACTTCTTGAGTTAATAAATCAATTATCTGATTGTCGGCACACGGACAGATCTTTGCAGGGTTTCTCTGCCTAGATTTGCTTACTGAAGTGACTTACAAACTGGCAATCCCATCAACACATCACAGAATTAAAAAAGAGGAGTCAGAATAAAATAACTCTATAGTTTTAGGATTTGATCATACCATTACACTGTTATTTCTGTATTTAATTATTGTTTGCTTTCGCTTACCAGAAGTGTGCTTGGCAGGTAATCTTTTTCACTTTTAAATGTTCAGAACTGGACCAGAGATGATAATCATCACTGAAATACCATCACATTCATTATTGGTTTCTTCTGTGAATGTCAGTTACAAATTCTTAAAAACACATTGAATAACATGAAACCAGAAAAAGATGCCAGTTAAGTTCAGAGAGTACATAGTCCATTTTCCTGGTTATGTATCGTAACTCAGTTAGAAAACAGGTAATAAAATAGGAACTATAAAGCTCAGTAATTCTGACAACAAGCTTTGAAATATTATTTTCCTGAGAAAATGAGGGACACGTAGAGACTCTTATAGAAGATGTACAGCCACTTACAGAAAAAAATCAAATTTTTTGATCTATTTCCTCACAATAGCCTGAATGTAGGTTAACTCTCAGCAACGTATAGTTAGAAATCAGAATAAACCAGAGGAATGTTTGAAGTACAGCAATCTTAACACAGCAGCCTCCTTACTGGATAATTCTGTAGTCCCCACAACATGTGTGAAGTTTTAATATCTTACTGTAATCTAATGGTTTCTAACTGTAAATATTTTAATGTTTGGGATATTGCTTTCATACCCTAAAAAACATGTGTGGAATGCTTGAAATAAGCTGCGCTTAAGACACTGTCAGCCAAATAATAAGTTGAATTCAAGAGAGCTCTGTGTTGTTTCCAGAAAGAACTTTTTATGATCTGAGGCAAACCATAATAACATTAAATGTTATACAATGTACTGTTCATGCATATGGCACAGGAAGGTAGGAGGAGAAAGTAAATCTGTGCACCAGGCTCTGCACGAGAAATAGCAGCTCCAAGTGAAGAAACCTCCACCTCCTCTCCCAAACTGCTTGCCTTGGTCTGTGGGCATCGCCAGTGTTTACAGACCAACAAACATCACCCCTAACCCCATGACTTTCAAAATACTCTAATTAAAAGTCTAATTAAAAATTAAATAGTTTCAACAAGAAGGATGTTCAAGCACAAATCCAGACTCTGATACAGACTTTATAGAAATTATAAATACATCCATGCCTTTAAAGCTAGCTTGCTCTTTAAAAGGCTTGGGTTGAGAAAGAAAATCTAAAATAGGGTGATTGAAAGCAAGTGTAGTAAGGAGGGTTAGTTGTCTAACTGAGTCCCTGGAGCCTTCTCACTCTTTTATCTACTCATTATTACTTTGCTTGTTGTTACATTAGACACATCACAGTCACACAGACGTGGCATTAATCACAGGGCAGGACTTTCCAACTGCCTAGGAGAGGGCACCTACTCTGACATTATCCCACCAGGAACCCATGAGCCATGTTAGAGATACAGCTGTTTATCTGACCCACACTTAAAGAAGCAGCGGCCAGAGGAACATGCAGGGAAAACCTTTTTAATGCAGTCAGTTCCCTACAATGCAGGAAGGAAGGAAGGAAGGAAGGAAGGGAGGAAGGGAGGAAGGGAGGAAGGAAGGAAGGAAGGAAGGAAGAGAGGGAGGGAGAGAGGGAGGGAGGGAGGGAGGGAGGGAGGGAGGAGTGCTTATGATTTTGCACAATAAGGTTGGCCATGAAATACTGAGGCTTTCAGTAGGAGTCTTGCTCATTGAGGGTTATTATGGCCTAGCCTATTACTCTACTATAAAATGCTATATTGAAAATTAAAGACACTTAGGGCATGTCAGTTGCTTTTTATGCTTGATCTTAGGCTAACATCTGCATTTGAAACTAATTCAGCCACAGTGCTTGGGTGCAGCTGATGAAGCATCAAATTCTCCTCCCACAAAACATACCGAATTTTGGAGGAATTCTAGGGATCGACCTTTGACCAGCTAAGAGACTTTAGCAGGCTATAGAAAATTTCAGACTGAGATTCAAGTATGCAGTCTGCAGTCCTACCTTCTACTGTAGTACTGTAGACGAGTTCTTCATGGCTGAGGGGACATGAAGAACTCGTCTAACTGGTCTTGTGCCTTTGCTCTTTCACCTGTTAAATAAATAAATATTAATTGTTCAACGTCACTGTGGTGTTTAACATACGAACATTTTCATGGCACCCACCCAGTATGGTGATAAGCACAGTAAAATTATCTAAAAAAATGACTGATGTGTGATGTTTTCCCACAGGAAGACAAACAGACATGAGAAAAGCACATCACATGTTCCTTCTCTGCCCTCTCCCCTGCGCTCCTTTTATCACTGCTCCTAGCACAGAGGAGGGGCTTCCAGAGCCAAGCATGGCAGTTGGTCAGAAGAGGGCCAGAAGAGCACTGACCAAATAAATGCAATCAGCACCGCCTTGCACTCCTGTCCTCAGCAATCACTGACACAGCCAGGACTGAACAAGAGCCTGCAGGCAACAGGGAAAAAATGGGAAAAATGGGGAAAAAAATGCAGTGTCTGTCTGCAGAGCTTTCTCCCGTGCTCCTGCTCTCTCATCTAGTTCTTGACTCGTTATTAGTTACTAAAATCACTAAGAATGTAAGCCTTGGGCTATCCTTCCTATGGCCCTTTTCAGGCATATATTAACTCAGAACAATGATGGTCCAAGCCAGACAGATGGGGAAAGCTTGGCCACATGTGGTAGTGAAGTGCTCAGGCTTAAGGGACACAGTGATATCAGGACTGTGGTCCTACAGATGCCAAAAGTAAAAATCCAGGCAACTTTTTAGAAGACTCTATCTCTGGAACCTTTAAGGTCAGGGATCTTAGCCATCTTCCCAATTACATGGAAGCTGAGAAGGAATTACAAGATTTCAGGTACATCTAAAAGCCAAATTTTAGAGGCTAAACTGAAATAATTGTATGCTAAGTTCTATGGTAGAGCTATCACCAAACATCAGTCAACTTTTTATTTCAAATCAGAAGTTTGATCAAAATGAGGATCATGTCCCATTCAGAGCAATTCCTTATATCCTGCTTAAAGCTTGCACCAGAGCACTGGGTCATTTGGCAAGAGGTGCTGCTTCAAATCTCCTAGTGTGGGACTAGGATCTTTGCTTCCTCTTTTTGTAGATGCAGAGAAGCTCTGAAGTTCTCCTGAATTTCAGCCTCATACATTCATTAGAAGGAGAATAATTTATCCTAGTTTATCCTAATTTACCTTATCTTAGGTTATCCTTTACTCATGGTTTCTTCTTCTGCATCTGTCGCTTGTTAGAGCACCACATGCCCCTGTGGAGCCACTGAGAGTCCATGCATCAGCAGGTCTCCCAAAGGCACGCAGAAATCCAAAGAATGAAATGTAAAGTTTCTCTCCCTCCTGCATTCCTGAATCTGCGTGTCAGCTGTACCAGAAATCTTCCCTGCATCCTTAAATATTAACAGACCTGTTTTCTGGATGTGGGATTCCTCATTTTCATATGAATAAATGATTAATTCTCACAATACTGAGCAGGTACAACTTCTATAACTACATGAGTCAGCACTGTGCCAAACCCTTTAAGAAAATAGTAACAGTGTTCAAGTTTTTATTGCACTTTATTGCTTCCCGGATCATTTAAAAGGAGTCACTGACAAACAGCCATTTACACAGGCATTTGAAACATTTGGAAGTTTGCATCGGATGTACTGAGTGGTTCTGTATTTCAAAATGCAGACATACCGTCTTTTCCAGCAATTTAAGGCTAGTTCTTTGAATGAAAACTCCAGTGTCTGTCCACCAAATGCCACTATTTGCAATGGCACATCTTGTGTGTTAGCTGAGGACAATTTTAACCAAATTCTGAACACGGTACTGAGTACTGTTCTAACAATCTTGCTGGCTCTGGTGATGTTCTCCATGGGCTGTAATGTGGAATTTAAAAAATTTTTAAATCATATAAAAAAACCTTGGGGCATTTTTGTGGGCTTCCTTTGCCAGTTTGGGATTATGCCTCTTGTAGGCTTCGTGCTGTCGTTGGCCTTTGATGTGCTTCCTGTTCAAGCGGTTGTGGTGATGATCATGGGATGCTGCCCGGGTGGAACGGCCTCCAACATCATTGCCTACTGGGTGGATGGTGACATGGACCTAAGGTAAGAGAAGTTATTGCCTGAAAAGTTCCTGTGCCTTTTCCTGTAAGAAGTATGTTGTAGACTCCGTACTGGAAAAGCCTGTATGACATTTGTCTTTGCTATCTGGCCTGTGCATGTTGAAGTCTCCTTCTTGTATGGTCATTTAGTTATTATAAGAATAATAAATAAGAAGAATAGCAATTAGGCTCTATCTGTTGAGATTTCATGATACACATAAGATATCGTGCATAGAAGAAACTATCTTCATTGTATAGCATTAGATGCTGCTGAAAATAGTTCAGATGAACACATCTAAAACACTAAGGACTGTGGTCTAAGAGCCACATTTGTGATTTTTTTTGTCCCAAGATCTTGGGCAGTGGAAAAAAAATAACAGAATTTTAGGAACTGATTCTTATATATGAAATAGTGGCTATGCAATAATTTTTAAAGTAGTGTTTCTTGAAAGAGGCCACCCGTGGAAAAAAAATACTTTGCAATTAGTTGCAATCTCTTTGGCATCTAATATAAATGAAAATTACTTATAATTCTATCTAATTCTGTCTGCTCCTGGCACCTTATAGAAGTTTTCAAACTGAAGGAACCTTTAACATGATACAAGTCACAACCTTCCGTGTTGGGTATAATGGAAAAGCTTCTCTGGGGCTAAGCATGATGATCTCAATAGCAAGTAATTTGGCTGTAACTTCAATATGCTGTGAACTCAAAACCTGTGATACATAAGGCAGCTGACATGCTCTCTGACACCAGCCACACAGTAGAAGTTAACCCAGCTCTTGAGGCAAATTCAAGGGGGAGAGGGAGGGCTCATTAACTCAGTCTTTAAAAAATGAGCTATTTTTTAAAAATCCTGATCACTCTAAAATAAATAGAATCATTTCTCTTTCCCACAGAGTACCATAAATTGCAGCTTTCATACAATTTATCATATGTCAGTCTGAACTAGAAATGGAAAAACTAATAGAAGTAAGAAAGATGTGGATCTAAGGTCAACAGGGTATGAATTTAATATTTGTGGCTTTAATAAAGCATTTTTTCCATACTTTGAAAACAGTGAATTTTTCTGTCACACACAGGTGTTAATGTAATATGTGCTTTTGATACTGTATGTCTTCAACTCTGCTAATTGCCAGCTTCCCCATGCTGGAGAACAGACCTATCATATTAGAAACTGTAACAAACTTTATTTCAATAAATACAGTCCTGAGAAAAGCACAGATGGAAACATAGCCAGGACAAATCAGAAATTCTCTCCCAACCCCACATGCTGAGCCAAACTATGCTGTTGCAGCTCTGAATGTTCAGGGTAGTGCCACTGAAATCAGCAGTAAAAAAATTGATTTGATGACACTATAAATAAGAGCAGAATTTATCCCCATGCTCCTTGGAGAAGATAAGGTAAATTAAAAACATCTATAAAAGGTTATTTTTTTCAAGTCAAAGTCTCATCCTTCAAGATTTCAGAGGCTTTTTGATCAAGACCTCAGTGACACAATGCAAGGCCAGAAGGATGAGGCAGTGAAATGAGAAATGCAAGGATCTTCCACTCTTGATGAAAGAACAGCAGCATAAGTAGCCTGGCTGCTTTCTAGAGCCAGCACAGTACTATAGAAGGCCTGCCCATCATATCAAACAAAGATTTTCCTTTCAGCTGGTAGTACTTTATGCTTATATCATACCAGGTATCACTCTTTTTTACAGTCCTGCCTCAAAATTTCACAGTGCAAATAGATCACAAGTTAGCGAAGGAATAGGGTTTGTTTGTTTGTTTGTTTTTCTGCTTCTGATATAATTACAGGGTGGTGAAGTGTGAGGTTTTATGCCTTTCTTGGTAGCTCAGACTCAAAGGTGTCCTCTAAGGTTTCCTGTGGGGACACCTGATTTGACACCTCTTAATATTTCACAAGAGCAAGTGCTAAGTCTACCCCCGCTTCCTGCACAGCACCCATGGGAGTTTCTGTGAGCACTGGGGTTAGGAATAGATAATAGGCAGGATTTGGAGCAGGTTATAGATATTTGAAATGCAGGAAAATGTAGGAAATATGTATATACAAAAAGTAGATTGTTTTATCCATTTGAGGCTTCTCCTGTCCTCAGTTATAGCCCCATGGTTCTTTTATCTTTGCATGCTGGAATCCTTGCTGAAGGCTCTTACAAAGCCATATCTAATGATACTAAAGCCAAGAGTAATAGGAACCAAAATTAATGAAAATATATCTGCAGTTTCTGTATGACTTGTTCTAGATGACTCTGAATGCCCCTGGTTTGTAAGACGGGGCTGGTGTCACCTTTTCTGGGGGCAATCCATGCAGAAGAGCAGTCAGGAGCGAGGCTCTGATGGACATTTCCAAAGTTCCTTCACTAGAGTCCTCTATTGTGATTTTTACCACAAAGAAGCACGATTTGTAGACATAATTTTATCTATGTTATTCACTTCCTGAGAGTCTCTTTTTTAAGCTGTGTTGCCTTGCTCTTCTGCTTCATTCCTTCAACAGAAGCACCTTTTTGTAAGAGGTGTACCAAACCTGAAGGAAGAAAGGTTTTATTTTTCAAAATAGAAAGATCTTTGCAAAAAGCAAGGAAGCAGCAGTACTTCTGTCCAACTTCACTAAATAACTCTCAGCACCTATTTTGGGGCATGGAGCAGAACCAAACAGAGAAGGGAATTTTATTCCATCATACATGCTAGGTGAAGAATTTTTCTGTTTTATTCTATTGGCTTTGGAGTCAAATTTTAATGCCCTAAAATTGCTGGTAAAATGGAAAGCTCCATCTGAAATCCATCTGCGCCTGTCTCGCTCGCGGGGCCGCTCAGAGGCTGGTCAGACAGCGGCATGCAGACAAATTTGCCAGCAGTCCTCCCTGACGGCTTCCTGCCCCACTCCCTCATTTGCACTGACAGTTACTGCTATGTGTCTGCAGAACATGTCAATATTTTATGTTCCTTTTCTGTCTTCTCTTTTTTTTTTTCTTCCAGTAGAAACCATTTTTTCAATTTAATATTTTTTTTTTCCTAATTTGATATATGGGACCAATTGTCTGCAGTCAGCCGTATTTCTTGCCCAACGTTTCATAAACTGTTAAGACATAATAAGAAAATGAGAAAGGCTCTGGGCTAGCATGAGATGAACTGCCACACTGACCCGCTCTCTTTGCAGCATCAGCATGACAACTTGCTCCACTCTGCTTGCAATGGGGATGATGCCCCTTTGTCTCTTTCTTTATACCAAGATGTGGACAGCCACCGGCTCAATCGTACTCCCCTACGACAGCATCGGTGAGTCAAGTGAATCAGCACCTTCCCTTCTGAACCTCCCCTTTGTGCTTCTTCTGGTAGCAACCATCTTTGTACCATCACCATTGCAGAGTCACACAGATGTGACATTAGGAAGGCAGGAGAATAAATATTTTTAAAAATCTAATGACTTCAGGGGGAATTATTCCATATCTCTGGATTATCCAGAGTTTTGAAGAATAAAGTCCTTAAGTTATTACGAGTGTGGTAAAGATATTTATCACAATGTAGCGCGCACTGTTTTATTTAAATTGGGTGGAAACCTGCACAGGCCTGGTATAAAAATATAGAATAATTCATACAAGAATAGATGCTTTCCCTGGATAAAAGTGTTGGTAAGAGTTTCAAGGCACAATCCTGCAAAGTGCTAAGTGCCAAGCCCATAATGTAGCAAAGTACTTAAGCATATGTGGATAATTAAGCAAGTGATTAAAACTGCTGCGTCTCATTGAAAAGCTGCAATCTGCACCACAAGGAGTAGCTTCATTTGACTTCTTATCAAAAATCACACTCAGCTACAAACAGAAAATAGTCTAAATATTTAGCAATACATGCTCCAGTGCTTCACAGAGTTGTGGCCCTAGTGTTTATCAAGTTTGGTTCCACGTTGTGCTAATCTTACAAAGCCAGCGGAGCCACTTTCATGTTCTGCAATTGCATTTCCCATTGTACTGGAAAAAAAAATCACATAAATGGCTTGCACTTTCAAAATAAATTCTGGAGGAGGGAGGCCAAAGCAAAAGAAGCCCTGAACTGGTTGTTGATCTGGTACAGTAGCAAAACACCTACAGATAGAATGAACATTTAATATTCCTACTCACATCACAGCATAGTGATGATTAGCAAGCACAAATTTCTGTCTGTCTTTTTGGTTCAGGTGAATGAGTGTGTAGCTAAGCAGAATGGCAATTACTTCAACAGGCTGCCAAAGATAAGAGACTCTATAGAAAAGCAAATGGGCAGGTGTGAGAGTAGAGCGCGCGTGTCCTGGAGTGCGCGTGTCAGCCACATCCTCCTAAGGCTTGCTCTGTATAGAGCCTAGCTGCTCTAGACAGTGCCTTTTCTTCCATCATGAACTTCTGTGTTATATGTGGGCTTATCCTTTTTATTTTATTTTTTTTTCAGGAATTTCACTGGTAGCTCTCGTAGTTCCTGTTTCAGTTGGGATTTTTGTTAACCACAAATGGCCCAAGAAAGCAAAACTCATACTTAAGGTAGGATATGTAAGGCTGAACCATTGCTAATTGTGGGCAATTTAAGGATTCAGTGGCACCACTTAAGCAGTACATTGCTAATCATAATACACGATTCTGACTTCATACAAGCTGTGAAATTCTCAGTAGAAAACAAATGAGACACTACAGAAATGTGTTGCTTTCCCCTTGCCCAAATAGTCACGCATTACGTTAATGCACATTACTATAAACTATCATTATCCAAAGAGCTCCTTTTTTCTTTGGTGAGAACTATGTTAATTATTAAGTTCAGTGTATAATATAAACTGGAAACAGGAAGAAAGTCATTCTGATCAACTGCAAAGATTTCTCTCCAAAGTAAAAATAAAAATAAATAGTAAAAATAAAAAGAAAGAAAAATAAAACAAAAACATATTCCAAATCAAACAAAGAAAATTTCTACCTTTAAACCAGTTTATTAGTTTGGGGAATTTTGATCAAAACTTATTTTTTGAAAATGTTGCTTCTGTTTAAAAACTCCGGCAAAAACTACTCACAAAATTCAACTGTACTTGCAAGATCATTTCAAATGCATCAGAATTACATTTGGGGGCAAGAAAATGTCTCACCAAAATAATAATAATAACCTAGCTATATTTTGTGTTAACAGCAATCATCCTGAAAATTTCTCTGCTATGTTCAAAGTTGTCTTTAGACACACTTGGATCCATTATCCTCATTGACCACGCTTAGTGTTATTTTCTTGTTTTCTTAACTTAAGCTAAATTAATTGGACGGCTGGTTAATCTACCTATATTTTCTTATTCTTTCTCTCTGATATCAGCTCAGGAAAAGAAGACCACAAAAAAAGTCCATTTAAGTCAAATTCATATTTCAAAAGTATGAGCTTACTGTGTTTTATTTTTGAATATACTCATAGCTTGCTTATGAATTTAGATATTATCAGGTGTTGGTTTCAAAATTGTCCTAGTCCTGTTAAATCTGTTACTGGAAAAGCATGGACTTGAACATATATAGTGAGAGACCCCACTTGCTCTTTTAGCAAAACACCACCATTTCATGTTTTTCTTCCTGGATAAGTACATAGTCCACAGAGGAGCCCATTGGCAGCTTGCTTGGTGCAGAACAGCAAAGCGTCAAGGGAAAGTGAAGCCATAGCCATCAGGTTAGGGTCTACACAGTGATAAATGGAGATAAAAGAACAGAGACTCTGCACCAAGTGAACTAAAAAAGCTTGCCACAGCCAGGTCATATTTCTTTTTCCTAGGTGCATGTTGTAACAGTTCAGTTAAGCAAAAGTAGCTGTCCATTCAGTGCTCTTAAAAAAAAGCTTCAGCCAAAGACTGATGAAGTCAGTTCAATGGCAATAGACTTCGCATATACACTTTTTACCTGAGAAATGGATTCTCCTAAGCCTAGCCCCAGGAGCCTGCCCTGGCAGTATATTCCAAGAGGGCAGATTTTTCTCTTGAATATTGAGAAGAGAGTCAGTTATCCCTCACTCTGACAAGCAGTGACTGGGATCTCTGCATGTTCAACCACAGGACATAAGATCACCTCAGTGATTATGGCTATGTAGGAATACTGTATGAACGCACAGTCAGTTTTCAAACACACTGTATTTTCAGCCACATTAAAGATTTACTCATCCACCTGGCAAATAATTTCCTAGCACAAGCAATCTGGTGTCTAATATGTATACTCTATGCTAAGCCCCAAAGTGTAACTAGCCAAGTGAAGAAAAAGTCTATTACACTGGCTATTAGACTGTCTCCACAACCCTGGGAGTTCTGCTCTGTGCATCATTCCTTGTTCATGTTATGCTTCTGATACCATTTTTAAGAGTGAGTTCTAAGTAGAGAAAAAGTTTCAAGAGATTAATCTTACTGATACCTGCTATAGATACCTATTCTATTCTACTTTGATCTATATCTATAATTAAACATTGAAATAAACCGTCTATCTAGAGTTTTTAGAAAATGGTAGCTGTCTTAATTTGTGTGCCTGTTGTAAAGTACATTGCAATACGCATTCCATTTTATACTTAATAAGATAGCTCAGTGACTTAGTTAAAGGTGCTTATGAGCATGTTTGAAATTACATTCAGTTTCATCAATGCCTCTTTCTGCACAGTTCCTCCTTTCTTTTCCCACAGGTTGGTTCCATTGCTGGAGCAATCCTCATTATACTCATAGCTGTGGTTGGAGGAATACTGTACAAAGGCTCCTGGGTTATCTCCCCTAAATTATGGATCATTGGTACCATATTTCCAGCAGCTGGATATTCTCTGGGGTTCTTTCTGGCTCGCATAGCTGGTCTGTCTTGGCACAGGTATGGATTTCTCTGTGACATAGAGCTATAGTCTTATTGCACCTGTGAGGTTTTTATTTAATGATTAATCAATGCTGAGAGTGCTCCCTAAACATTAGTTATGCTGCAAGGTCACTCATTCCCCAACTCTGCTTCTACCGTACTGCATTCATATAAGACTTTTCTTGTCCACATCTTTGTTTATGGATTGCACTTCCCTGTTCCCTCCAATCTGTCATACATCTTCCCGACATGTGCCTGCATCCTACAGTCCAAAGGAAATAGACGGGATGGGCCTATCCAATCAGCTGGCTGGTGCTGCAGTAAAATTTCCCATGAAGCAGGAGCACTCTGCAATTTAGAGCATCATTGCAAAAGAAGGAGATAGTGAGTGTTACTGAACAATATAACACACATGTCTTGAAAGTGGAGAACAGTCCTCTGCAATTGCTGAATGGCCAAAAATTATGTGTCCTCTAGTGCTAACAATGTATGTCTTGAGGAGTGTTCTGTGGGCTACGTGAGCTGGAGGATACTGTTTCCTCAGTCATCTCTTACTGCCTGTTTCTTGGAGTAGGGATGCCCGGGATCCTATTTGATGTCTGCCTTTGTATTATTCCCTTTAGGTGTCGAACGGTGTCTCTGGAAACAGGCATGCAGAACACTCAGCTGTGTACGACCATCATACAGCTCTCCTTCAGTACTGAGCAACTTGAACTGATGTTTGCTTTCCCACTCATCTACAGCATTTTCCAGATAGCATTTGCAGTAATAATTCTAGCAGGTAAGATACATACATTTTTTGTTAGAGCAATATAAATACTATTAGTATTATCTGTCTCATTTATCATGAAGTTTGGAAAAAATAAAAACCAGACAATTTAGGGATAAAAATTAGTAAAATGGAAAGCAGTTAGGTGATAATGACCTCAGTTATTAGTGAACATTGCCACTGTGTTGTGCCCCATGCAAGGTAGATATGAAGTTTGGTTCAAGATGTCAAAGGACCCTTTTTTCAACATAATAGAGGGGATCTCCAACACTGAGAGCTGCACACATGAGAATATCTTGAACACAGGATTGTTATCAACCTTTGTTGAGGAAGGGGAAATGGATTTTCTTCCAGGGTCTTATATCACTCCAGAGTGCCAGGGATTATGTTGTACACCAGAATCATCCCCACCAGCATGGCCCTATCAGCCAACAACAGCCCCAAAACTTTCTAAGTTAGACAAACAACGTATTGAAAATTATTACACAGCAGGAGCAGGAAGCAGTCAAGCACCAAAATATAATTTAAAATATAGAATTTAAAATATATTCCTTGTAATTTTCTAAACATTTTTTTTAGTGATATGTGTTGTGGAAATATAATCTTTAAATATATCTTTAAAGAAACTCTGTCTGGAGGTGTACACTTCCTTTTAATAAAAGGAAGGAAAACATATGGCAATATTGTACTGCAAAAGTTTCTTCAGATCATTATTGTAATTTCTTTATTTAATACCAAACATATGCTGATTCCCAGGCTACCGTATTTATATAAGATGCCAGGGCAAAACGAAGACAGATGATGTGAAAACAGAAGAGAAAAAAGAAGAAGAAAAATCAAAATCATCATCGTCACATGCTGCAACAAATGGAGGATTTGTATCAAATGAGACCAAATAGATCCCCCTCTTCCAGCAAGTAAAATTGTATAATATGTATTGTTTACTTAAACTTTTTTTTTTTTACATTCTGTTGCTTTAAGGAAATATTTAACAAAAGAAAGTGCTCTACTGATGTTGTGCAGAAAGGAATTTATGAAAGATTTCTACTTTCATTATGAACATGGTTTCTGTCATAATTGTAAAATCTATTTTTGAAGTAATTCTCTAAAATATTTAATTATGGCTTATTTAAAAAAAAATAAAGGACTATAAAGGCAGGCAAAAAAAAAAAAAAAAAAGGCAGCAGATATCTGCTAAGAAAGTAGACATTTGCATTACAGACTCCAGACAGTGCTCCTGCATATCCATCCACTAATCCCAGCCCCAATATCAACAAAGAGAAACGTTGCAAAAGTGCCTGAAGAGCTACAGGAGTTGATGTGGAAGATCTGGCATGGCTGGAGGAATTTCCCCAAGCATAAATCTACTCAAAATTGAAACGAGCAAGTAAAGAAATAATGTTTCATTTAAGTCAGTTTGATCCAACTGATGTTGTTGCACTATAATAAGTGTTTGAGGTGTTAATTTACTCAAAACTAATTTTAAACAGTGCAAATTAATTTATGACCTTTTTTTTCTCCCTCAGATTAATAGCAAGCAACAATTTTGTATCTTTAGTCTGGGTCATTTAGGTGCTGGAAAGATCAACAGAGAGAGAAAGCCCAGGGTATGAGCCAAGAGCGGTGTTAGTTTGCCAGCTGCACAAAGGAGAGGTTGAGGTTTTGAAGGTGTGAGAAATGGTCAACTTTTGCACTGAAAGGGAGGCATGTGAAAGTGGAACAAAATTGTGCCTGATTCATCCAGGACTACATTCACCACTTCTAAGACAGAATAATAGTGTTTATAGGGAGTCATATATTTCTTTGGCTTTATGAACTTTTATGAAATTTGGACTTCCTGAATATCCATTACATTTATTTAGTCAATAACTTAAAATTTTGATTATATAAAACATGGGCAGAAATAATTCTGTGTAAACATATGTTATTTGTCTCTGAAAATTAAAGGGTGCATACAGAAAGCATTCTTAAGTGTGTGGAGAAGGTGAGTATAATTAAAAAAAAAAACAGTGCAATACATTTTTTGGAGCTGTAATTTTTTGTTGATGCATTCAGAATGAACCAGCATGAAAACCATACACCTCTTCATCTTATTCAAGTGGGTATTTTGAGAGTGTTGTGAGCTAATGTAGCAGATTTTTTATAAACACAGCTTAAATTGTGGAATTTAGGCTCCAGAAATGTAGCTTTCCACTTCTGCAGGAATATGTCCAATATTAAACAAAGGATAAATTATTTCTGTATACCAGGGGAATGGGTCTTGAAGTGATTCTGAGATCTAAGATGCTTGAAGCTGCTTCATTTTCAGGAGGACAGTCAGAGAGCTCGTAATGTTCTCCAAAGAGAAGGTCAACACAGATACAGTGGGAGCTAGAACATTGCATGTCTTTTTATATAATAAATAATAAACAGAAAGAAGTAGAAAAATATTTTCATTAAGGAATCCTAAATGTAAAACTCCACATTCACTGAGAAAAGGATAAGTTTTTGTTAGCAACATATGCAGTAAAAAGGAGGTTGTGATTTTCCATCTTCCTTCAAAATATAGGCAGTAGAAGTCACCTACTATCACCTTTCTCACACAAGCTGCTACATTTTTTCCTATTCTAAAGCTAAAATAACCCAAATGCTTTTGTACATATTTTACACAGATCTTGAAAATGTATTGGAGTGATGCTCTGTTTTCTGTTCCTTTGTATTTAAAACAACCATGTAAAAGCTGAACTGAACACAGTTAGTAACTGTTTGTATATATTATTGCCCACCAGAGTAATTTTGAGGTGAAAAGAACTGAGACTGAGTCCTAACATGCAGACCAAGTTTATGACTTTGAGATGTAATAAAAGCACCTCACATGATTGTGTAAAATGTATATGGTTAATAATGACTACTAATAAATGAACCTGTGATGTCTGATGCCATGTTTGATGGACATTTTTTACTGTATACGTTCTTCGATGACAGCTGAAGGCTGTAGCTTATTCAGACACTAGAATTAAATCTAAGGTGGGTCGTGTGACACAAGCCTTATGTGCAAAAAAGTCATTTTAAACCAGCTTACTGCTCTGGAGCTTGCCAAACCTCCATATGAGTTCTCCATGTGAGGAAGAACTTTTGTCTTGTGACAGAGCCCTGGAACAGGCTGCTCGGAGAGGTTGTGGAGTCTCCTTCTCTGGAGATCTTCCAAACTCTCCTGGGTGCCACCCTGTGCCACATGCTCTGGGTGTCACACGCCACGTGCTCTAGGGGGTTGGACTAGATGATCTCTAGAGGCCCCTTCCAACCTCAACCATTCTGGGATCCTGTGAAACCCAGACATCCGTCAGAGTCTGGGCATCACAGTGTCAGTCACCAGTGCTGCTGGGCTGAGCTATCCCACAGCAGCACTGTGGACTTCTTCTGAGGAACTATGTCCTCTCCCCTAAAGTTTCCAGATAGATGTTAAGGGCTGATAGTGTCAGCCATACAAACACTGTGGTTCCCAGGCCACAAAGGCTGGTAACCTCCAGCCTTGCAGTTTCAGTTGTCCTTGCTATAGTCAAAAGAAAATCCTTGTCTTGCAGAGATAAACTGGTTCATCTCCTCTCGCGCCCTCCAGTATAAACTTCCTTTCAGTACTTCTTTTTAAGCAATCTTCTATGCACTGAAATTGCCGGCTGACAGGGCATCGCGTATGTGCAATTTAGAAATCCCATGCAGCCATGTTAACACTAACAGATACCCAATTCACCCTTATACTTACTGGTAATCACACATTTACCAATCCAGGCTAGGAAGCTTCATAGTTGCCTTAGCAAATTCTATTTTAACACAGCTAGTCTACCTTTAAATAAAGTGGTTCAAGTCCAGAGATTCTGGGTTCCCTGAATCTTGCTCTGCTGCACATCTGGTTTCAGTCCATTGCAGGCAAAATGAATTGGCTTCTAAAGATAGACATACCCTAAAAGCTGTAACAGCAGCTGAATTAGCGCCCAGCTCATCCAAGGATCTGTGGTATACAAGCACAGTAAGGATGTAAAATCATGCTTGCCCAAAGCAAGTTTACAGCCATATATTAGGCTATATAAACATGTTCCCTAGTTGGTGAAAAGAGAGAAGTACTGCCATCGACTTATTCATTCACCAGATACCCAGTGCGGGATGAGCTGCCTAGTGGAAAGGTCGATCTCTATAAATTAGATATAGTTGGCCTGACTTACAACAAATACCTATGTTTTTGACTTTCAGATGGATAAAAGTGAGATGAAGTACCTTTTTTTGTCTTCCTTTTCTGCATAAAGTCTAATGTGCTCTGAACACTCAGTTTATTTCTTTTAACCTCAGTTATGTCTCTACAATTGAAAAAACAGAACTGACTCAAAAATATCTTTGTACTGATTTATAGTCTGTACTGTTTTTAATCTTCTGTGAAAACATAACTTATTTTTCGACTGATTAGAAGACAGGTAGAAAAACTTGTTCTGTCATACAGTGTCGTGCTAGTCAGAAGAGAGTGCAGCCTGAACAGAATTAATAAGTAAATTGATTTGTGATCTATGCTACATAAGTTTGTCATTTCAAGCTAATCAAGTTATGATGTTCAAAAAAAACTATTGTAATCTCTGCTAATTAGTATTATTTTTTTCCTCCTTAAAAGGGAGGAATGAATTTACAGTTTGCGGTGGTGCAAACCTAAAACAGTAGTTAGTATTCCTTACCTGCAAAAGCCCAAACCTTCAGTGCTCCATATCTTATGAGGATGCCCCTGTCCTCAGATCAACTATATTATTCACACACATTCAAACTTAAAGCAAGGATGTTGCCAAATTGCTACAACCAAATGACAACTAAACAAATCTCACTACATTCTCCAAGTTAGAACTGAAGAGCAGAACAGGTAGGATTCCACTTCTGTTTTCTAAGAAATACGTGTTCTGTTCAAGGAGAACTAATGTCCTACCTGAGCTGAACACTAAATTAACTTAAGACATCAACTGAAAAACAAACTGCTGGTTGCTAGGGTGTTCACCAAATTTAAAACTGGAATTGCAGTACATGGATAACAGTCAGTCCTTTAAGGATATGTTTTCTTTAATAGATATGCCCCGGTGGATGATATTGCTATTTCAGTTTAGTTTCCATTAATTTAGCCATCAAAAGGAAGCTTCCAATGTCAATCTTCATCCTTCCTCCAAAACACACAACTAGGATGGTCAACAAAAGGTATGTATCTCTGAAGAACGAGTCATCACATGCCTCAGATGATACCTTGTTTGGGATGGAAACATTTCTAGAAGGTGGCACAGAGATTATGTGGAACTGGATGTGAAGCTGCCTACGCATAGACAGTTAGTGTGATGTGAGATGCCTGAATGTCCCGCCTGGCTCTGCTTAGAATTATATAACACAGGAATTTAAAAAGGCTAGGAATAATATTTGGGGAGGACAGATAAAAAGGCAAACAAAAAGTAAACAACCAACAAATAAATGCATATTAATAATATCTCCATTTGTTCATAAGGAACTTAAACTAAAATGACTCAAACTGTGTTGCCAATAACACTTGAAAGATCATAACTCAGCCTCCTCCCTCAAATAATGAGACTGATTTAAGAGAACATGAGACTGTACAAATAATAAATTGAAGTTCAGATCTTTGTCTTTTGGAGCACAGGTATTTGAGGATTTAGCCATAAGGATAATTTTTTTTATCTTTTTAAAAGATTCTTAAAAATCAATCAGTACTATCTATTGCTATCACAGGAAGTACCTCAAAACTCCACACAAAATGAAAAGAGTTGTTGACACTGAAGTAAACTCCTATTGACTGCAACAAGGAGTTGACCCAGTCCTTCAGACAGTGTACCCCTTGGTTATAACATATCTTAGTTATTGTTATATAATGTAATAAACTCTGTTC